AGGTTATCAGTTTCACTGAAATTATAGTATGCATCATCGTTAACACATTTATTTATAACTATGAATGTTTACATTAACATTATCTATTTTAGAATCAATCAAAGCAACCTTTTAATCATCAGTCTACAATATTCTATATTGACATTTATAATATATCAACATCAATCGATGAATATTTGATCAAATGCTTATAGTTTGTACAATAATTGTTAACAGTGTGAAATTTGATTAAAAACGTATCGTATTATAAAAATGCATATGCTACTGGCAATTTTTTTGAAAAAGAAAACGAATAATCTATATATATATATATGCATACATACATACACGCGATCATGCTATTCCATACATTTTATATTGTATTAGGATGTAAACTAATATTTATTATACTAATAAATATTTAGAATATCGTTATATTACACTTTTATTATTTTTTATTTTAAATATTTCCTATAATTTACAAGACATCTTTGAATATACAAAGATATTTCATAAATTTAAATCAAACAAATGTATTAGCATATAATTTATCATTTATTTTATTTATATTTAACATAAACAAAAACATTAAAATCAATTTATTAAGTTAAAGTTAAAAATATTAATGATATTCTTATTAAAAGTTTATATTTGATTATTTCATAATTGATCTATAACGACTTTATCTCGATATGAAACATAAAAACATCTATTTAATATTGGTTCATATGTGTTTATTATTTTAGTAAATCTAAGTTTGCAGAAAAATCAAATTGCATTTATTATGAAGAGAGTAATATTTATTGGTGCTTGATTTATTATACAGAATGCACAGTAAAAACTGATATTGTACTTTTCTAAAAAAAAATTGAAAATCAGTAGCTTTTTGTTTTTAAATAAAAGCGTCATATTAACGGGGTTTGTACATTGTAGTATTATGTAATATCGTCCGATCGCTAATAATGCTGTCTCAGCGATCATTTGGAAAATAATATTGTAAGTATGTATGCATGCCTAATTTGCGATATTGTAAATAGTATAATTCGTAATTTTTACAGTCAGTGCGAAGAATTACGATTTTTAATGATTGATCATTGGTAATAAAATGCGGAATAATTAATTTCATATTTATTAATGTATTGTAACTATTTTTTAATTTATTCTTCGTTATATTGAAAGTTGCGCAAAGATTCATCGTATTTTGAGTTCGTAACGAATGTAATCAAATTAAATATTAAAAATTACTTATTGCTATTCATTTACAATTTAAAAAATAATTATAAATTGCACGTTGAATTTAACTCATTTCATTCTTGTATTAAATATAGAAATATAATAATACACATTAATATAATAATAATTATATTTATACAATATAAAATTTTTAATCATAAAGAATTGAATTTTTGAAGAAAAAAAAATGAATTATCAATATAAAGTGGTTCTTTCTGCAGCGTACTATTTCATGCAAATAAAAATTACGTTGAATGATAATGAACAAGTCGCTATTTTGAACCAAAAGGCAGAGACAAAAAAAAAAAAAACAAAAACAAAAGGACAAATGATCAATCAAGTACTTGTTGAATTTTTCGCAATGAATGTCTCGCGCACACTATGAAAGCATACTGATTTATACATACTTTTGTACGAATGAATAATAAGCTCATTTGTTATGCATGCATATTCTTAGGTATAATGTTATACTAATAATAATAATAATAATAATAATAATAATAATAATAATAATAATAATTGTAATAGGAACAACAACAACAACAACAACAACAAAAACAATAACAACAACAACATAATAATAATGAGTAGAAAATTATGAATAAAATATCTTAAGGGTATAAATATATACATAAAGGTTATTATAATAACAAAAATTCTAGAACTAATGTAATGACGAAATGGGAGTGGAAGAGAAGAGAGTGACTTAATTTCTCAACGGCGATGCATAGATGATCTCTTTATTCGTAAAATGCGGCATACTATTAGTAATTAGGTCTAAGCAAAATGTTTTAATGCTGTAAGACAAAATTAAGGATATGTAAACTCGCGTTACGTCCAATCGTATTTTACCTCCTAGTTAAATTCCCTTTGCGGATGTTTGTCCATGAAAAATGAATTATTACCTCGCCTATAAAGGGAAAAGTGTTTGATGCATTGGACGGAATATATGAAATTGTCATTTTTTCGTTATTGAATTTGTATCATGTGAGGAAGTAAAATAATATGTAAAGCAAAAAATAAATTGTTAAAAAAACTGACTTCATCGATAGTCAATTGGATAGAAAGAAGATGAGAGGAGGAGAATTAAGCGCCTTGAGAGTATCGCCTCATCCTTTTTGACATGGATTATAAAATATACTTGTATAGATATTCAAAAATCCTAATGAAGTAACTGCAAATGTTATTCTCGTAGTAAGGCAATATTCAATGATACAGAAATTAATTAGTGTTCGATGAAGACGTAAAAGGGGGAGAAAAATTGGAGGAGGAAGAGGATGTGGATGTGTGAATGTGTTTGTGTGTGCTCGCGCGCACGTGTGTTCAGCTATGAGAAAGTAAGAAATGAGAAGACGAGGCTGATATCGCCAAAGTGAAGTGCTTTCGTGTTGTGTTGTACCTTATCGAGGCATACACGAGCAATCGATTATATATTCTTGAGATACAGTGCTCGAATACCTGACTTAATTATTATAAGTAAATAAATACTGCTTATGACGGTCAAATTACAATGGTACTTCATGACCCGTGCATATCCCCACCTTCTCTCCCTTGTTTAGTAAATTTATTTTTAATATTTTCGTAAAGTTGATATAAATCTATTAAAACCTGATTAAACACTTTTTTTTTCACATGAAATTAGTTATGCATATATTAAACGGAATAATTAATTTAAACGTAATTAAAAATAAAAAAAAAAATTGATAACTATGTTTATGTTTTTAATTAATTGAATTTCTTTTTATCATTAAAATTATCCTAGATGTTTGTAAAATTGAAAGTTGAAAAATAAATGTGTAGGTATTATCGTAGTTAACAAGTGTATCGTTTATAATTATTATTATATATAATTATAAAACTGTTGAATTCGTTGCAAAGGTGATGTGGTGGAGACAAAGAACACTACTGATTATTCAGAGATTGACAATGCGTTGAATGAGTAAGAAAAATATCAACATAGAATAAAGATTTGATCCAAAAGCATTAAGCGTTATTAGCTTATAATATTGAAGACCAGCGACAAGAAATACAAATGAAATATTCATAATTGTAAATATATTTCTAAGTCATAAATTGAACATAATACATAGTGAAAAGACTCTACTACTTTAAATATTATTTTATATTTTGATGTTATTTTATTTGGAAAAATATAAGTAAAAATATAAAAAAAAAAAAAAATAAAATTTAAAAATATCATTTAAAATCAATCTTTTTTACATATATGATTAAATCTAATAGTATAATGATATCATACAAATTAATATAAAGATTTTTTTTAAGTTGTTCTATTATGTTTATGTTGTTTATGTGTTGTTCTAATATTTTGTCAATGACTTTATCAATACATTTTATCAATTGAGTTAAATGAAGTAATTAAAATTAATTGATATTATTGATTTATTGTTTTCTAAAGATATTTTTGATAGAATTATGTACGAAGATACTGAAACGATCGTAATACTTGTAATTCCATTAAAAATAAAATTTATTTAATTATTTTATAATTTTCATTAAACTTATATGATTAATTGTTCTTTATTGTGACTTTATGATAACTGTAATTTAATTATTTTTTTTTTATCTAAAAATATTGTTTTATTGTACAAATTAATAGATTTCGTAGTTATGATTATTTTATTATTTCAGATAGTTTTACAATATTGTATTTTTTATGGATTATTGGAATTTTATTTAAATGTGTTCAATAGCAACTATGTAAAGAAAGGCAATAAATTTCCATAAATATGATGATAAAATATAATGATATTACAATAAGTATTGTGATCAAGCATGATTTCGCAAATATAATAAAATTTCTATTATCAACGTTTAAATGCATAAGTGTTTTCGTAAAGTGGCTTTCTTTCCTTTTTTTTTATTTTTTAACACAGTGATCGTAAGATTTCCAAGTTAAAATTTTTTTATAACGTGTATTGGGAAGTGGGATAAAATGATTAATATGAATAATGTGTAAATATGCAGGTGAAATAGTAGATTAAAAAGATGAAGTTTCCAGGTAAAAAGCGTTCTCTTCGTAAGAAAATCTGATGATGGGCAAATAAATAATGTACATCGAAAAAAAAAGTACGGATGCATCGATTGTAATGGATAAAACTCATTGACAAAATCTTATCCTAATTTTTTCCTTACCCCCGGAAAAAGTGATCGAATTTTATGTTTATTTTTTCTTGAATGTTCTTCATCAAGAACAATGTATATTTAACTTTCATTTTTCAAGCAAGTGTCCAACCATTTTCACCACACAATCAACGAATACGATGATTCGCCTAGCTCTGGCACACGAATGTACAGTCGACTGTTTACAATGCTATTGACAGGGGAAGTTGCAAGTGCCATAGAACTTGGTGTTAAATTCTAAGTTCCAGTCTCAATGTAATTAATGATAATGTGACTGGTCATTTCTTGTTTGCCTCTGTACATGACATGACGACTTGTTGTGCTTTCGCGAGGCGTATGACGAAAGAGGTTTCAAGACGACTTGACGTTGTTGCGTTGGTCAATGCTGACATGAACGCCAAAAGCGCTGCATCGGAAAGTCGATGAACTGCTGTATCCCTATGGGACATAGGCCTACTTACACTATTTTTACCAATATAATATGTAAAAGACGAACTTTCCAGTGGAAAGAAAAAGACAGCTGTAGGTGAGTACGCAAATATGGCGGGGGTTGAGGGAAAAAAGTAGAGCTAAAAAAGAAGTGTTCGAACGTCATTTATTGTCATAGTATAGACGCGTAGTTGTGTAGTTGGCGGTATAGTTTCGTAGTTGCATCGTTATCGGCGTCAAATAGATCGTCAAGATGTGGCGCCACAGTTTCCGCGGGCTTCTCCAACGCTCCTGTACGTAAATAAAGTACGACTATCAGCCCGATCGCCAGAGTCGAGTTTTCTGCCTATAAAATTGCTTGCGTCTACCAGTTCTGCACCTTGACGCCATGGTGTGCGTGTGATTGTGTGGTAGTGAGTTAGCCCATGCGCGTGTGTGCAGCTGCGCTGTGGTCATTCGACCGATTCAACGTGAAGTATTCGAGTGTTCTCCTTTCCTTTATGGATAATGAAAATCGGCGAGCTCGGAACAAGCGCCGTATCTGTTCTCGACGCTTTCATGAAATTCTATCACTCGTAATAAAGCAATATTTACGTGATATTTGACAAGAATTTAGCTTCCCGTTCTCTTTTGAACCCATTTTTACAATTCTCACGGGTACTGGTTAAATTCGACGCCAAGTTTACATTTCCAGATATTTTTCCTTTTTATCAAGGACACTAGACCTCGGTTGCTCCTCCGCTCTGCATAAGTAGCAGCTGGAGAGGACGATTATATATTTCCAATTAATGTGAATTTGTTTGGGGCATCTGCTCCCACTCCACCTCTACTTGTTTCTTATTTTCGAGCAAGCGAGGGGACCCTGCAAGGACACTCATATGTAATTTAATACGCGACTAGGAACGTTCGTTCTGCATTAGTCTTGCGAACTTGCAGTATGCTCAACAAGACCTGCAGTTCTTGGCTATTATGGCAGCAGGAGATGATAGTGTTGCCAATGCTTCCAATGTGTCAAGCAATAATAATAACAATAATACAAAACCTCGCCAAGAGAAACAGTATGATTACCTGCTCAAGTTTCTTCTCGTTGGAGACAGCGATGTAGGTAAACAAGAAATTCTAAGTGGCTTGGAGGATGGTGCTTTCGAATCTCCCTTTTGTAGCGGCAGTGGTATGTCCCATCTTATATATTCATTATTTTTATATCGAAGGGATATGTTAATTTACTTGATTATATATAAGCAGCATACAAAACTACCACTATATTGTTGGATGGGAAACGGGTGAAGTTACAACTGTGGGATACATCTGGTCAGGGTAGGTTTTGCACCATTATAAGATCCTATTCCAGAGGAGCTCAAGGAATTCTCTTAGTTTATGATATTACCAATAAATGGTCATTTGATGGAATAGATCGATGGTTAAAAGAAGTGGAAGAGGTACTTTTAATTTTTTATTTAACAATCATCAATTTTTAACAAAATTGACTTAATTTTTTTTTATATACAAAGCAAGCACCCGGAATACCAAAAGTATTAGTTGGTAATCGTCTTCATTTAGCTTTTAAAAGACAAGTAAGTGAACGGGATGCAGAGTTATATGCTGCAAAAAATCGTATGGCCTTCTTTGAAGTATCGCCACTTTGTGATTTTAATATACGAGAAAGTTTTTCTGAACTCTCTCGAATGGCTCTTCATCGTAATGGAATGGAACGTCTATGGAGATCTAATAAAGGTACTGACATTAGCATCTATAAATCGTTAATAAATAAGGAAGTAAATGGAATCAAGTGTTATATGAATTTACTTTTATTTAATTAATAAATAATTTATTCATAATAATTAATGCCTTCATTTTCAGTTTTAAGTCTTCAAGAATTGTCCTGTCGTGCAATTGTAGCAAGAACAACAGTATACGGTATAGATCAATTACCTTTGCCTGCTTCTATAAAATCTCATTTAAAATCTTATGCCATGACTACTGTACCCCAATTACGACCGCGGCTTCACACTTCATGTGGTAGCCGTACTCTCTGTACCATTAAAGCCTTGAATCTCGGCCATCGTAAGCTACGATTCGTAGCTGGAACGAGTCCTAACAGTGGTGGATCCTCGACACCTGGTAGCTCACCATCCGGAAGTATTAATGATTCGCGTACAAGTTGCGTAGGTCGGAATTCTTGCACAATATCTTGATTAGAAAAAGCTTTCGGTTGCATCTTTCCATATTTTGTTATAGTGTTTAATAATGCACATTGATTTTCTTTATTTCACACAATGAAATATAATTCAGCTGTGGCGTTAATTTAGGTACTGATAATTTTATGAATGGGAAAGTTGTGAGAAACAATGACAATTTGAGAATTTTATTCTTTGCTATGTCAAATAATTTTATTTATTATTTTTATATTATAAATAAAAAAGTTGAAAGTTTTAAATAGACGTCCATCCGCTATATTTCCAGAAATTTATAAAATTTGTTAGTGGATTGGGAAATTTCGATGTGGGCAATATATGACTTAATTATATATGTAAGAACGTGATACAGTTTCATGCGCCTGTGTATGCATGTGTGTGCATATGTGTGCGCGCGCTCGTACAAATGGCTGTTGTACTCAAGATGTATTAGAACATTGTAATTCTAAACATATAATTCTTAGTTTTCAAGAACTTAAGATTTCATTGTAACGACTGTGAGCTGTCATGTTTTTATTCTATTATTTTTATGAAAATTATTTTGGCCAAAAGACCTCTAGTCTAACACTAAAATTTGTATTGAATTTATTCTTCATAAATAATATAATTGGTAATTATCATAAATTTCATAAAAATACCAGAGTAAATATACTTTGGCAAATAATGCTTTATGAACTTTACAATGATATGTACAAAAACATTTTTATATACTTCCATATTAACTTGACTTTCATTAGCAATAATAACGAGCTAGTCAAAGTCATATTAATCAATCTTTATACAAACTACTCTTTCATACTCGCTGTAATTTTATTTTGGTTTAACAAAATATGTATTTATATATAAATATATGTTTAGAGGTTGTATAAACATTAACAGACTATACCTATTAATCGACTTTACACAAATGTAACATCATCAATGCAATTATTGAAAAGAAGCATTGTGATTAATAAAATACATCGATTAAGGTTTAGAACTTTCTAATATTAAAAGTAATGTTTTCAAACTTTTAAACGAGAATTGAAAAATGTATAATAAATTTTTAAAAATCATGTTATTGTTTGTGCATACAGTACTGTAAGTCGTTAAAAATGCGATTACAAAAAAACCGTATGCCAATCATATTTTTGTACATTTTGTAAAAAATATTTTATGTTATTCGCAAAACTGATCGTAAATAAATGTATGTAGGTGTGGGTGTATGGATTTTTAAAATCATGTAACCATAACGCGTGCATATCTCCCATAGGCATAATGTGAAACACTTGTAATATAAATAGCATTCAAATACATATTTTGTTTTTATTATTCATAAAAAAATTATTCATATATTTTTTTATTTATTTTAATTTATTTTACTTAAATAGAAAATGTATGGTATATTTGTCAGTTACCATAGCAACAAAATAAACTTGATATTGATAGTAAATAAGTCTATGAAGTTTTATTACAGATTAACATAAAAAGTAATTCGTAATGAGCAATACTTCAAAGTTTCAACATTTAAAATTATATTTTAGATTGAAGCATGAAGAAGATGTTATTACAAAATCAGTTGAAGCTTTTATGATTAATTCTAAATGTCTTGATCCAGAGTTTTGGGATAATTTAAAACGACATATTGCCAAATTTGAAAATGAAAGGTAATAAAAAATTATGGTATATTTGTTGAATATTAGTTTTTTATGACATATGAATATGATTTTATAATTAGGCAAAGGTTAGCTGATTCATTGAAAGAAACAATAACAAATATGTATGAGGAATTAAAATCAGTTAAAGTTGTCATAAGCAAAGCAAAGGATGAGAAAATTGGTAAATATAAATTTTTGATAGTTTAATTGGTTTAATTTTCATTTCAATGATTTTTTTAAGAGCTTGGCACTTTTAAGAGGAAGTTGCAATTCTTATGGAAAAAAATTCAAGAACTTAAAAGTTTGTGCAATAATTCTATTAATACTTTGGCTGGAGAACAAAACAATATAAATGCAGATTTTAATGCATTAGAGGGAATTGTTAATAGACATAAAAATTTTAATTCTTCTGGTGCTTGTCATCAAAAGAATTTGCAGTTCAAAGAAAAGCATGAATCTCCAAAGGAATGTGATTACAATCAAGTTAAAGACTTATGCAGTTTATTAGCGAAAACAGGTACAAACAACTTTGACGTACGTTTTAAAATAATTCTTAGTTGAGTTATTGTTCTACAGAACAGTTATTGTTTAGAATAAATTCAAGATTTTTAATATACTTTTCATGATAGTTTTTAACACAGTATGGATGGAAATACGCGCATTTCAGCAATATTATATTTGGTATTATAAATTAAAAATATATTTAAAATGTAATTTTAATGCAAGTTTAAAAATGGTGATAATATGAGATTTTGTACAAATTTTATAATATTTCCTATGATAGTAAATATTGCTATAAAATTTTAGTTGAAATATTAAAAAAATATTACCGATGTAGTAATGATTAGTTATAATATTTTAATTATATAGCAGATGTGATCTACTATAACATAATGTACGTAAACAATTTTTCTTATTTAAAGGCAAATTTGTTTATTAAAATACCTAAATTATTAAAGTAATCATGGAGATATAAAATTTTAGGCTATATGTATCATTTATTTATTTGATTTTTTGGTATTCAATCAATAGACGTACTAAAGATTTGAGAATCTTTTCTACTCACGTACCTGCATCTATATAAGTTACGTCAACTTTTACATTTCATGTTAACATAAAACATTGAGCATCAATGATCTGTATATAATCAATAATATTATTGAATATTTTATATTAAATGAAATACTAATATTACTTTGAAATTAACTTATTGCATCGAATATTGAACTTTACATAGATATTACGTCTTTTTGCAAGTTTTTAATAGAATGTATATCGAGTGAAAACATTATGTGATATCCATACAGTTTAAAAGAACTGAATGTGACTGAGAAGAATTATAGAATATTTTATTAATCAAAACAAGAATATCATTTATTGCAACATATTTGATGTCTGCAAGTTTAATTACTTTAGTTCTACAAATTAAAAACCTAGATATTTTCATACAATATTAAATGCAGATTTATTTTCAATATTATTATTATTATTATTGATTTGTTAATTTCATTCCGATCTCAATAAAAATTAGAAAGAAACAGTTTAATATTAATTTATTTAACCGCAATACTTAAATTTCTGTGAATTATTAGACGTATATGTTTTAATAGAAATTTAGTGGGATGAATAAATCTTGATATTATTTTTTAGAAGTATCAAGGCATATAATTTTATTCTTGTTGTAGGCCACACTGGTAACTGGAGCGAAGATGATCACCTGCTCTTTCTGAAACTACGCAAGAAGCATAAGAGCGTTGCATCTCTGGTGTTGTCGATTCAAGCTAAGTGCCCAGATTTAACTAAAGAAAATATCATCAATCACGAGGCGTGGTATAAGACTTATTTGGAATTACGTAAGAAGCAGAAACTCAAGCTTGAGGAGTGGCGTAAATGCAAGCGAACAGAGCAGCTTGGAAAAGTTACTAAGGTAGAAGAGACTCGACAGGTGGTGATCGCTGATCGTTTACTTGATCATCCTGAACATAAAAAGGCAATGGTTGAAAGGAAGAAGGAGATGGTGAGGCAATGGAGAGAGCAAAGAGAGACGTTGCAGGCCGTAAATGAGGAGCAGTTAAGAAAGTGCCTCCGAGCGAAAAAGGAGATTAAGGAAAATCGAAGACGAGCTCGGGCTATGAAGCTTAAAAAGCTCATTATTCAGTCTAAAAATAATGAGATCCTCGTAGAGAAAGAAGATCCTACCAAATGCAACGGCATTGCATATCCGTCATTTATGTCTAATTTCCTTTTGCATATGTATAGGTACTGTTTATTGTTCGAACGTCCATTTTCATCCTTTAAAACATGTTTGGTTTAAAAGTAATATTCTCGAATTATAAAAAGCACAAATTGATAATGTTAATTAATAGAAATTTGTAGTAAATGCCTGTGGATAATTTTCCAAATAATTTATTTAATCTTCAATTATTTAAATTTAAATAATTTAACGATAAACTTTTTTGGTATTTCATGAGATTATACATATTTAGAAATCCAACGCAGTTTTACTTTTATCAAAGGAGTATTTTGAAAATTGATTAAAAATCATGTCTTTTAAATAATTGTTTGACTTTAACGAATTATTATTATAAATAAGCCTAAATTTTATTAAGTACTTTTTAGAAAAATGTCATATAATGCTTACTATGATAGGATTTTTATACGTTCACGAAAAATAAATAATATATTTTTTAATTTGTAGATTAAGAGATCAACAATTTTTGGAGAAAAGAAAAAATAAAATTCAATCAAAAAAATTAAATATAAGAAGGCTTTCACAACCAATCAAATACAAATTCTTTAAAAGTAAAGAATCGACATTTCTCAAAGAGACAAAGGCTTTTCAAGCAAAGCATGAAAAAATCGAAGAAAAAAAAACGGAAACTTTCTTTTATATTAAAGATTTGCCAACAAGGTATAGTTTACAGAAATATTTTATAATATATATTGCGTAATAAATAAAATTAAATAATGAGCGGCATTACTCATTGTATTATTTCTTTTAGAATATGTGTAAGTTGGAAAAGTTACGATGTTCCTGAATCTTACAGACAAAGGTAGCAAATATAAGGATTAAAAATATTATATTAATTAAATGTACAGTGCATTAAGAAAATTATAATAAATTAAGAATTAAAGATTAAAGGATTATAGTAAATATATATATATATATATATACAACACTTTGATATATGCTTATGTTTATTTTTTTTTCTTTATGAACGTACCTTTTTCTTTCAGACGATGTACATAATAAGTTATGAGTAAACGAGCGTTAAGTCTTATCCAGAACTGCCGTTTTGTTTTTAATTCATCATATTTTTCTTTTAAATTTTACAACGATTTTTGAGGTTTAGGTATCGCTACACACAAAGTTATTGCGTTATGGATAACATTAACACTGGACAGTTTTACTCAAATATATATACACACACATGTATATATATATATATATATATATATATATATATATATATATATA